TTTTTGTAATGGGAGATGATAAGCTTCAATTTCAGTTTAAAAAAAGAAACAAAATGGGTGTGATACGTGGGGCCCTTAGCTAACATGTCCAGGTTGAACAGTCTTGCTTCCTGAAAGCAAACAAGAATTATGTTCTCCAAGTTCAAATGAAGGCAGAACACAATTAGGGATGCCTTGGAAAAGCAATCTTTACAAAAAACAATGTCTCCTTCCTCCACTGCAACATGATATGGTGATATGTTGTTTCTGCCCAAACTGCGTCAGCTGATACATATCTTATTTATTTATATCTCAATAGGTATCCTTAATAACTGGCTACCTCTATGTATTTTTTAAAAATGTTTCATTGTACCTTTTTGCTTTGAATACGTTTTGGTGTTGCTTATGTTTCCCAGTATTTTTCCATTTGATCCATTTTAGGATTTGTATACTCCTTGTTAGCTTTGAATACTATCTTTAATTATGTAACACACCTTAGGTACTTCTGTAAAATTACACACTTGGAGCCCAAACACGTAACATTGAACATGTAGTTCTGCCTTTAAGTGCAGGCCCTTTAAAACAAACAAACAAAAAACACAAAAGTGCTAGCAGGAGAGGCCTGATCCAGATCAGATCATTGTGTGTTGGTGGTAACAAAGCTTCAATCCTTTTCACCCTGTTCCACTCCTGATCAGATTAGGTCCCCAGGCCTGCCAAGTTGCATTATCAGAACAAAAACATCACCATCCTCTCTCTCTCTCTCTCTCTCTCTCTCTCTCTCTCTCTGGCAGTGTAAATAGCAAGTGTTTGGATCCTGTCTCTCCACCACCACCACCCTGGAGGGGGAGAAAGAATTGGTGTGGAGGAGACAGCATCTTTCTTGGGGTGGCAGAAACCAAGGATTATCTCACTCTTAATCCTCCTCCTACCCCATCTCTGTCCCTCACTACAACATCCTCAATAATGTTATGTGAAATGTTATGTGAAAACATCTTCCCCTTGTAGAAAAACAGAAGAAAGAAAAAATTGAGTTTGTGCTATCAAAACATAAAATACAGTAGGTTGTCCCCACTACTTGTGAGGTCGTCTACTTGCCCCCTCCCTTAAAATACTTTAAGCAATTCAGAAAACAAGAGCTGTATTGACCACACCATAAGAGACCCCCCAGGAAGCCACCGCTATTTATAGAAAAATATGTGTTGCCACTGAGACACAACTAAGGTCTCTCCTTCATCTCTGGTATTTGGAATGGGGCATCTAACTGTTTACAAAGCACCATTCCTTCCCTTCTGCTCAATGGTGGAGACCACCAGCTGGCAAAGAGACGTTCTTTCATTTTAACCTTTGGACAGATAAGGCTGTTTTACTATTGACTTTCTAAACATCACATCTTTTCTCTAAATATCTTTCAAAAAGGAGAAGTAAAGCCTCTTGGGATAAATTAAACCAATGTTAAATTCTAGTTAAGTCTGTTGCAAGTCCATTCTATACTTGCTCCCTTTTGTAATTTCTTTTACAAAAACATGCACTAGAATCAAGACTGGCAGATCATTTTTTGGCTTTCAATAGATTCATTAACAAAGCAACCAAAGGAAACATTATATTATTGGGATATGGACAATGTTTTGAAGACTTATAAAAAGAAATGTTTGTTTCTATAGCTTACAAAGGCAAAATACATATTATTTAAGAAAACAAACACATGGTTTCTGAACATTTGTGACAGTTGATCCATTTCTCCTTAATATTTTTGTTCAATGCATTTTTCAGTGTATTTCAATGAAAACTAGATGAAACCGTTTTTAAAATTTCAATTTGGGTAAAAATATCAGTTAAGAAACTGGCCTGTTTGCTCAATCAACTCATCACAGATTTAAGACCCCTCCACAGGGGCACAAGGAGACTTTTTTCTGCAAAGTTATTTTCCTAAAATGTTTTAAAATGTGAGGATGAAATATGTGGGGGAGGGGTGCACAAAGAAGCTGTGGGGGTCCTTTAAGGCTAGGTTCAAAACAAAGGAATCTAGATAGAAATTCAACACATTTTGCATCATGAAGAGAATAGTGGGTAAATCTGAAAAATTACTAGAATGGTAACATGAGCATAGAGAACTGTACTCATCCATATTTAAAAATCAGTGTGGGCTGAATGTGTAGCACTCTACAAAGTAAGATCAGGAGGTGCGGGGAATAAAACAGCCTTCCAACTATGCTTTTTTTAAAAAAGGGGGGAGGTAGATAAATATCAATATCCAAACATGAAACTGTGCCTCATCCGACAAGAACACTTCCTCCAGCAGAATGACTGCTGAATTCTGTCTAATGTTTGTCCCATTTGAACTCAACGCAACAAATAGTTCTGCTTTCAGTACAGATTATATCAGAAAGATGAGACCCACCTGATCAGATAAATGGTTCTTTGATAGCATCATTATGGAAAACAATTACAAGCCAATGTTTGTACAGTGGAGCCTTGACTTACAAACTGAATCCATCCCAGAAAATGTTCGCATGTCAAAACATTTGTAAGTCGAATCAGCATTTTCCCATAGGAATGCATTGAAAACCAATTAATCCATTCCAGCTATTTTTTCTTTAACCAGTTTTGCATTAGTTCCTATAGGAACTAATGCAAAACTGGTTAATCCATCCTCTATCACTAGGGGGAGAACTTTTTTAACCTAAGATGACATAGGTTAAAAAAAGGGCAGGAAACCAAATCAAGCACCTTTTAAACCAATGTTTACATTTTAAAATTACAGTATTAGGCAGTACCAGGCAGTCCAAAGTCCATTTCCCTCTTTTTCCATTTTTTTTTGTTCGTAAGTAGAAGCTCCATTTGCAAGTCGAACCAAAATTTTGCAAACAGAGTTGTTCATAATTCAAAATGTTCGTATGTAGGGGCGTTCGAAAGTTGAGGCACCACTGTGTAGTGGGATTTCTTTTTCCTTTCCCCCTTTTTGGTTTGTTTGCTTATGTTAAGTGCTTTTAACCTTTCAGGTAAAAGCAGGGATAGTCATGCTGCTACAAAAACCTGGAGGGAATGCAGAGGGAATCTGTTTTTTTTTTTTAAGACAAAGAATCAATCAATCAATCAATTAATATACCACCTATCTGGCAGCCAAGGCCACTCTGAGCAGTTTACAACACATAACAAAAAACAATAGTTCTGAGCAGTTTACAACACATAACAAAAAAAATAGTGTAACAAAATAGCGAATAGTGACATTAATATATAGGGATGAAAATCAAAAATCATAAAGTCAAATGATCAAATTATAATACAATTAAAAGCATAGATGAAAATAAGTCTTCTCAGGTGATGGACAGACATCAGCAAAATGGTGATTTGTCGTGATTCATCAAGGTGCACAAATCATAAATTTACGAATTTTTGCAGAACAAATCGGGAATCGATTTGGCAGGCCTATGCCACTCCACCTGGAGACACCAAAACCACCAAAACCACATCCCCTGTCTCTCCTCTACAACTTCTCCATGTTTGGTGAAGTTTGGGTTTTGGACATCCAAGTTATACACCCTCAAATTGGGTCCTTCCAGGAAAGTGCCCTTCAGCAGCTGCCAGCTGACTTGGGGGAAATTCCAGCACTAGTTCATGCCTGGGAGCATAACTAACGGAGGTTGCAGAGATGCAGGTTTGTTCCCCCAAGCTTCAGAGGTAGCTGGCAGTCAGGTAGATTTCCTCCCCTGGGTTACAGAGGTGGTTGGCAGGCATGTTGTCTTCTTCCCCTGGGATGATTCTTAACAATCAACTCCCCCGGAGCCCTTTGAGCCATACATTTGGCTGTCTGACCTGCCAATCCAGGAGTCTCTAGGTCCTGGCCATGGTTGTCTAGAGATTCTGATAGACAGGAGCAAGCTGTTGATGGCATGGGGGCAAAGGCAGTGCAAAAACAAGTAAACAAAGTGATGAATCAAAATGGCTAAAATTTCTTACTTTGTATTCATCAAGGTCATCACATCTGATGAATATGAAGCAACAAAATTCTGATTAATTAGTGATTTTTGATGAACTTTGCAATTTGTTATTTTAAAATTTGTGCCCATCTTTAGTATAAATTTCACTCAGGATAGCCCATAGAGCTCCTAATGTAGTATAAAGTTACACCTTAGAAAACATAATTTCTCAAAGTAAACTCAAAACTATACCGATCTTTGTCTTGGTTAACAGGTTCTTTCTTTGAGCAACCAGATTTTCCTCATCTATCCTGGAGTTAATTTTCAACTATAGATCAGCTAAAGCAAGTCAATGTACCCAACACATACCCAACAAATACACTATTAATTCCAGTGCTAACACATGATATGTTATCTGTCAACCAAAGAGAGTGTGTGCACAGACCAAATGCATATAGCTTTGAGGTCTCTAAGGGGACTTGCATTGTCTAAGATGAAGGATCAATTTTTTCTAACTTCCCAGATCTCAGTAAGCCCTTGGGATACACCAGGTGAAATCTGGCACCACTGTATCACTTTAGGAGACAGTGTCTTTCATGACAGCATCTTTCTTCCATTCTGTCTGGAAACAAAATGCAGACAATTTCCTTCCCTAGTCCCACGTTTCCTGATGGAGAGATAGTTTTCTTGAAAGCTTCCACACATTTTTGTTCCATTCTAGTCAGCCTAAGAAAGGTATGTTTTTGGAATCTAATCTCTCAAACTGTTACAGAACTGTTAAATAAAACCTTCTAAATTGAAATTATGAAGTGTGAAATTAAAACCAATCCAGAGTTAACAATGAGTTTGTTTTGAGATTGGGAAGCCTCCCTATCTCTTCTATCCATAAGCTATTTATCTGATTGCAGGCCCAACTTGTTTACATTCAGCAGGCAGCTACAAATTGTTCAGGCAAAGAGTAATAACAAGAAAGCTCAGTAGCTTACCAAACAAATATCTGCTCAGCAGACATATAGGCTCCTACTAATGATAAGTCCACCTGAGCCAAAATCCGCAGAACCTTGGAAAGCATTTTCATCATGCTATCATCATAATACTTACATTTTCTCTAAAGATGAAAGCCAGGATTGCAGCTGAGAGTTCTGCTAGGAAGATGATCAAAATAAACATGAAGAACTGAAAGAGAGAACAGAGGAAAACAATCACTATGTGTCTACAACTGATGGGACAGAATCTCTCAAAATAATAAATGACAGTGAAAACTGAACAAAATGTGTTCTGTTCACACAAAATGTGTGGCTATATTGGAACAAGTCTGATAAGCCCTTGGTGAAAGAAAAAAGCAACAGAGAAACAGTAAACTGTGAGCAGTATGATTTCATAAATCAGTGATGCTGTTGATCATGTGCTACTTCTCTGTTAGTATGTATTACACTACAGTAGGGCCCTTCTATCTGTGGGATCAGTATCTGTGGATTCACTTATCTGCTGCCTGAGAATATTAAATAAAAAAAATGTACAATGTAGTTACCAGAACCAAGAATTGCTTGGAAATGGATGAACAAATCACATTTAGTGTTCATTAATTTTGTTCTGCTTCACTCCTGCCTTTTGGTCAGCTCATTATCAGGGTGGACAGCTGGAGAAACAGGACAAGGACAAGCTGCACCTCTGGTTGCAGCCAAGAAGGCATGGTACAAACAAGCCTGAAGCACAAAATCAGTGACAAACCATGGCTTTTAACTGGTTTATAGCTGGCTAACAAAACATGGCCTGACTGTAGTGATGGACACAATAAGCCATAATTTGCATCCTGTTAGTATAACAAAGTGGCCATTGATGAATATGAACAAGTTTTTATTTTATGTTTTATTTTTGCAGAACCCAGTATACAGTATTATACATTTTAGCAAGGGATAGAAATTAATAGTATCACAGAAATGGTAATAAAAACTGTAAGCAAAGAATGTGACGTGTCAAAGTCTCAGTACCTAATGTGGTCCCACTTTCAACTGGATGTGATCAATTTCATGAAAAGGGTTTGAAAGTAGTCCTTTTAGTACTGCCTTAAACAACATCATCATTTGTGAGATATCTTTTTTTTTTTTTTGCATATACAGGGTTGGATCTAGGTTCTAACTTCTGTAGGTGATGCCTCAACACATTTTTCAGAAATTTCAGTCCTAGGCATACCCCACTGAGCAGGACTGCCCTACTCCTGTATAGCATTTCTAGAAAAGATTGCTTATGATCATTTCTGCTAGCTTAGCAACTTGCACCTAAACTGGGATTCAATCCATAATGTACTTATTTATACTACTTAGATCTATACCAATTTGGCAACTGTGGCCTTCCAGATGTTTTTTAGCCTGCCATCCGCCTTAGCCAGCATAGCCAATGAAGAAGGAACAGCAGCAGCAGCAACAACAGCTACTATGAAAAATTGGGGATTGTGGTTTGCTGCAAATACAGCAGGTAGTAGAGGAGGGGGGAAAAAACTAAATGATTATATCAGTATAAGTAGAAAAAAATACTTAAGGCAGTGAAAATGGAGAATATTTCGAAAACAGAAAAAAGGCTCAGTATAAGGAACAACAATTTAAAAATAAACAATTGGAAAAATAAACTGCTACATGGACAACACATGATAAGTATTGCTGGAAAGCATGATCATAATTCAACATGGGCATGGCTAAAACTGAGAACAATTAAGAAAGAAACTGAAAGCTTGGTTTTTGCTATATAAGAACAAGCACTCCAAACCAATGTGATGAAAACTAAGATTCAAGGAATTAGTGCTAACAGCTAATGTCAACTCTACCAAGAAAAAGATGAAACGGTGACAAACCTCATCTGCGAATGTCCAAAGACTGCACAAACATATTACAAAATTATACATATTCAGTTATGGATTTTTATAGGAATACATGGCAGGAATATATATCTATAAATTCCTTTTAAAATATGCCTCAGAGAGGTGCTTTAAAAGTGAAAGTATTACTGAAAAGCAACAGTTGGGAACAAAACCAAAACAACCATTGTTTTGGTAAAAAGAGAACTAATATGAAGGCGGTAGCTCATTCACGGAGTTGCATGCCAGTGTTCGCAATGAAAAAGTAAACAATGATGCTCATGTTATGTGAACAGATAAAAAAAAACAAAGAAAAAATTGAGTGCCATTTACTTTGCCATTTGAGTACTGTTAAGTTAAAGAAACACCACAGAATAGATGTGAAAGCCTGTGTTGAATAAGAATAGCTATGTATTGTAAAAAACAGAAGCTTTTAGGAAACAGTGTGAGAGGAGAAAAACATCAACATTATCTTTAGTAGTTTGCTTCTTGATAAGTAAGTAGAAAAGAAAAACAAAAGTTTGCTTTTTATTTATCCTCATAATAATTAATAATTCCCTAATCTAGTGCTGGAACAACGAGGAGTATGAACGCACATAATATTCTGTGCACATAATATGGAGTGAAACATTTTAAATGTAAAAGCATGTAACAGTCAGTCCACATAAGGTGCTAAGGAAGTCCACATATGGTGCTAAGGGGGCATTTTTCCTGGCTAGAAGCTATCTCAGCAGGTTGCTGAGTTGACCTACATCTGTCCAGACAAACTAGCATTGCTTACCCATGGGAAAGCCAAAGTTCAGCATCAAAGATATTTTGTTTAATTTAGAAAAACTTAGTGTAACAAAACAGAGATTTATATCATGTTTATGGAACATCTCCCAAAGAACTACACCCACCTACGTTTTGCAAAGAAGTGGGAAGACGCAGATGCACTGAGAGTAGCCAGGAGATAGCCATGAGAATAACATAGATAAAGGCGGGAAATAAAACTGGAGACGTTTTTATAACCTTCAAACTGTCACTTTTATTTTCTCCACTCTCCTCCAGCACATTATTCAATGGATAAAAACCTCTCAATTCCAGCAATACGCCATAATTAGGAGAACCAAAACTCTTTCCATAGGGGCTCAGTGGGGAGTTTGCCCACACCATTCCCGGTACATCGGTCTTCGGGGAGGAGTACTCCTTAGGGCACAAATCCTCCCAAGGCATGAGAGTCTCACCCAGCCCCTCTCATCCGGCTTATCATAGAAACAATTGTGGGCTATCTCCGTCTCTCTCTGAAGCTCCAACTTACGCGGTGCCACGATCACGGTCCACTCCTCGGTCAAGAATTGTGCAGCTTTTCCTCCCTTCAGGTTCAGTTCTGGCAACAATCCTCCCACTTTTAGGTTGGGAAAATCTCTCAACAATCCTTGGGTGTTAACGTATTCGACCTCCCTCCTTCTCGCCTCCTCTCTCTTCCTCTCATGTTCCTCTAAAATTGCACTGAACCAACGCATCCCTTCCTCACTTATAGCCTCCTCCCATATTGACACCTCTTGCTCTACCCCTTTCCCTTCACATCCTCCTCCACCAGACAGATCTCTACCTTTCCCGCCTTTTTCTCTAATTCAATTTCCTGGATCTCCTTTGTAATTGTCTCTCCTTTAGTCAACGTCTTTTCCTCATTCTCATTATTCACTCCTCCTTCTACAGCCTCTATCACCACGGATAGCTCACTCTCACACACTCCTCCTTCACAGTGAGCTTTTCTCTTTTAGATAAAATATTTTTTCTCTGTGTTAATAACATGCTTAGAGTGAAGTAATGCATTTTGATTTTGTACATTTTTACTTTTAAAAGTTTAAATACCTTTTCATACCTGTCATTGAAACCTATAAGACTTTTTGCTTTTTATGATTATGTTCTCAAGAACTTTAAAGTGGTATTTATTTTATTAGATTTCAAAGATCTACTCTGGGCAGCAACAGAGAATATAGAGAGATATATATTCTTTGCCCTTACAAGCTATGAGCTCCTGTGTTTTAATGTTTTTTGGTTTTTTTGATCCAAGCATAACTAAAGTGCTTATCTGGACTTTGCACAGCTATGAGCTTACGAGTGAATGCATGCTGCTTATATACCGCCCCATATCACTTCAACTCTCTGGGTGGTTTACAAGTTAATTATGCAGCTACACATTGCCCCCCCCCATTAACTGGCTACTCATTTTACTAACCTCGGAAGGATAGAAGGCTGAGTCAACCTTGAGCCAGCTACCTGGGATTGAACCTCAGGTTGTGAGTACAGTTTTGGCTGCAGTATAGCAGTTTAACCACTGTGCCACAAGGCTCATTTTTAAGATGTATTTTTGACTTACTGTAAGTATTTGTTCAAACCTTAAGTTCAGTTTTAATGGATTTTTAAGTTTATAATCTATAATTTTTGCATGTCTATATGACTTTTGTATTTAAGCATAAGTGCCTACAGTTTTTTCTTCATAGTTGTGAGACTGTCTGATAATTTTTAGATTTGCTACTTTTAAGCATGGAGCCTAGAAATGATGTAAATAAATAGAACTTGTATAGCATTAACAGGTTCTGTAGTGGCCTGGAATTATTGCATCACTGAAGACACTTATAATGAGAAACACAAATGAGTTTACAAACAGCTTGTGACTGATTATTTGGTTTCATTCTGATATAAACCCTTTATTGGGATAATGTCAGCTGTGATGGATCATAGAATATTTTCTCTTTGCCGAGGAAGTCTGTAACTCTTATAGGACTCCTGGAGTGGTTTTGTCAGTAATCCAAATTAGGATCTGACAACATAATAGAGTGGCAAAATTAGTACACTGCTCATTATGCAAAAAAACAAAACAAAACCATAACTTGACAGCTTCCAAAAATCCATGGGCACATCAGATAGAGAAGGTGTCAGAAAATGACATAATCAAGATTTTGTGATATTTCCATTTCTAAACTGATAAACACCTTGAACATAACACACCAGACATAGTAGCAATAGAATGAAGAAATGTCTGGATCATCGACATCGCAATTCCAGGAGATGCCAGAGTTGAAAATAAAGAATTGGAAAAACTAACAAAATACAGAGATCTGGCAATCAAGATATCTTGCTTGCGGATGAAACACACTTCAGTGGTCCCCAGAGTGAACATAACAAGCAAGTAAGCGAATCCTGACCCCTACTCACTGGCAAAAAACAGACCACATAACAAAAAACATTAACAGATTTGGGTAAGATTTCTCTTACCAAAACAATAGATTACTGGGCCCGCCAAACAAAAACATCTAAAGATCACAAGTTGCCTACCCTGATCCGTATCATCTGTATCTATAAACATACATGTATCAGGTTGGATCTCAACTGTGCATGCTACAGGTCTTTTTAACAGGAGCTGCTGAAGAATCACTGGATCTGAACATCAGGGGACTTTTCAGTATTTTATTTATTTTTCCTTTTGTCTGTGAAAATAATTCTGTGACAGCATGCATATCAGAGGAACTTTGAAGGCAAACTTAACGAAATTTAGAGCAGGCAGCAGTTGTTTCTACTTTCCACCTGGGGTGAGAGGAGCATGGAAAGAAACAGTGAAGAAGCAGACAACAGGAATTACTCATAACCGTACTCCAAGACTGATTTCTCTTTAAGAGATCAATTGTTTTTAAAGACATGCAGAATGTAAAGACCTACCATGAAGCAAGCCTAGAGCTATTGTGGGTGGGTGGACGGGCAGTAACAGAAGCTTCTCCCCCTTAAAAGTCCTCCTGGATTCCCCTACTAGAGCAGCGAGAGCATGGTCACTGATCTCATTAGACTGTGCTTGTCCTGTCCACAGATTATATATTTCCTGGTGGAGGATGTGGAGCTGGTTTAATATTGCATTTGCAGACAAACTACAACTTGCCTGCTTTTCATTTAATGAAGCTGATGGTCGTCATTGTTTCATGCCATCTCAACTCAAAATATCTGGCTACAGTTCTGTGGTGGATTCAGTTTTATCAGGAAACTAGCAAAATGCCAATTGCTTATTCCACAGGCTTGCTTGCTTAAAAGTTCCAGGAAACTTGTGAGGTTTAAATTATTATTATTATTTTTTAAATGTACCAATTCAAACAGCTAAGAACTGCTTTAAGGGCTTTGATGCTCAACACAGTCTGACACTTGATGCAACGTATCAGATGTAGCTGCAACATTTCTTATAAAAATACAACATGAAAAAATCATCTCTACATAGAAAGAAATTCTCATTGAGAACTTCCCTTGGGATGCGTGTTTCTGTCTTGTCTCTCTTCCATGTTCTCCACTTGCCTTGAGTTTACACTTGAGCTAAAAGCTTCAGGCATTCATTATGTATCACTGTGAAATCTCTTTCAGGAAGCCTTTGGCTCATCTATTTTTGAAAACTTTGTAAGACAACTTGGATTTTAATCAGCCCACGAAAATAACACCTTTCCCTAACCCACTACTGTACAGTTAGCAAGAAGCAACTCCAGCCCAACTCCTTAAAGAAAGAGGGAAAGCTTTCCAGGCTGATAATTTCCATAACCTGCAGACTGAAACTTTTTGTGTAGGCAGTAATTTGCCACAAAAACCACTTTTCTGGGGGGAAAAACCCTATGCTGGAAGTTGTTTTTCCAAGTAAAAAATTCTGACATGCTTTTTCCACCAGGCATATACATGGACTTGGGGGGAGGACATATTATTGGTGCCATAACAAAATAGTTAGCATGCGTAGGTACCCATAATGTGGCTGTGAAGGCGAGACATGGTGTGTCACAAAATTTGCTTACCACAACAAAAGAATCATTTCACAGAAGGATTCTTTAACCCATTCCAAGGGAGAAGAAACTACAGCAGCTGCCCCTACTAGCCAGACCTTTGTAGAGGAGCTTGAAATACTACTAGAGACTGAGATACAGCATAGCACACATGTAAAGTCTAATAGGTGTTTATTCCGAGATTCATAAAGGTGAAAACAATATATTTGTCATGAACTGTCCAGAGACCTCTTTTCTTTTTCTGCTGTTAACCATCTTCTTTGCACTGGCTAATCCAAAGATATAACCCAAAGACCTGTTTATGTAATCAGAAAGATGACTACTAGCATATTCTTCTCACAGACATAACAGTAATCAATCCTAAACATTTCACTTTTTATTGGAGGCATACAGATTTGTGTTCATAATTCCCCTTATGCCACTTGCGGAGTTTTGAGGATTGTAACTCAAAACCACAAATTTGCACACTTTCACTTTTTTACCCCAATGGTAAGTGGAACAAGGTAACTATCAGCCAGGCAGAAACGTTACCTACGATCAGTGGCTCAAAGTAATTCTTTAGAACAGGGCTGGGTACAATATGACCTATAGGCTTAAAGCACTCCTCAGCATCCCCAATATGCCTCCTCAGCCCCCTTCCAATTTTTCTTCTGCTCAGAATGTTCCCTTGTGCATGGTAGAGGCATGCTAAAGTCATGATGCCATGATTTGAGAAGTCCCCTATATATGTATATATTTACTAGTAGAGGGTGCAAGAGAACTTTTTCAGTGAAAAAAACTACCATATTTGCTGGTGTATAAGGCGACTGGAAGTATAAGACGCCCCCCCAACATTCCCACTCAGAATGTAGAGTTTGTTATATACTTGCTGTATAAGACTACCCCCTCTTCTGCATGCATGATTCTGCTTTGGCTGCATGATGGGGAGAGTTCCTTTTGCCCCTTTTGGTTCCTTTTCGGAGGCGGCAGCCATTTTGGAGAGGTGCCAGCAATTTTGGAGAGGCAGCAACCATGTGGTCGCATCTCAAAATGGCTGCCACCTCTCTGCTGTTCCGACAGTCAGCTGTTCGGCGCTAGAGTCAGGCTCTACTGGGTCTTACTACCAGGTAAGTGACTTCACTGGGAGAGAGGGAGGGTTTGCAAGACATGCACCCAGTGTACAAGACGACCCCCCACTTGGAGGCATGTTTTTCAGGGCCAAAAAGTCATCTTGTACGCCGGCAAATACGGTAATTTCTATAAGAAAAACAATTCACAGGTAAGGTCACAGGAGCATTCCTACAGAGAAGGCTGAGTGTTTGGTGCCTAAATCTCTGTAGATTGCCTAGTTCTGCATGAGAAGAAAAGAAGAGCTCACACATAGATTAGAACATGATATCATCAGTTCTCCGCTTGGGTGTGTCTGCGTGACAAGGAACAACAAGCAAATAATAAAATAATCACACAGTAACATAGTCTTCTGTAATGGTATGACACAACCTACCTATTGCAGGCCAGTAACAAAAACCAATGCCAAAAAACAAAACAGCAGTACTTACAAAGAGGAGGAGGCATTTGTTCTCGCGGATTGCTCCACAGCATCCTAGGAACCCCAGCAGAAAGAGCATTGCTCCCATGGCCAGCATGATGTATGCTCCCGTGAAGAGCAGAGGGTTAGTAGCTACTATCTCTCGAAATCCTGTGGGATCTACTATGACCCATATTCCAACTCCCAGTAGACATGTACCACCCAGCTGCCACAAAAAGGAAAAAAAATAGAATTAATGTATGTTTTAATCAGGGAGAGCCAGTGTGTTGTAGTAGACAGAATGCTGGAGTAGTCTTCAGGAGATCTGGGATGAAACTCCATACCTTGCAAAAATTCTATCAAGGTAGCCATAAGTTAGATGCAACTTCATAGACAAGAGCACCAGCTAAAAGTTAAAAGCAAACATAACTGCAGCTTTATGAGGATAGTCCATGTATATTTGTAATGTCTCTTATTTTTCTTTCTTTGTTTTCTGTTTCCTTCCACTGAATACAAGTTGTATTTAGGATTCTGACCCTACTTTTGTCCTCTTTTACTTTCGCTTCTTGGTGTTTGCTTTTTAACCATAAAGAGTTTCATCAGATGTCCATAAATGCTTTCTTAATTTGATAGAGGCTTACCTTAAATCTCAGCTCAATATATAGGACACACTTTTTCAGAATGCTTTACTCATACCAAAAGAACAACAACAAAAACAACAAACAAACAAAAAAATCCAGCACATTCGCACAATACACATGTATTCTAAAAGTGGTTCCAGATGGTGGCTTTTTCAACAATAATAACATCCCATCAGGAAACTGAATTTCAGAGACGATATACTTCAATTGTATGGCGCCTTGGCACCATGTAATGCCAGTGTACTGCTACTATTGTTGTGGTGTCCATGTAGTGACCAACAAAAGGATTCATTCATGTTATATTTGCTAAGTCTTTATAACCATTCTTTGTAAAATTAGTATGCTTTTGGAAGAAATAATACTCTCCTGAGAAATTGTGCAACCATTTTCCATGCTGTAACACAATTCTTGAATGCCAAAGTATGTTGGGACGGAGTAAATCACTGTCTGAGAGCCATAATTACTTGGAATTGTATTATTAAGTCTTACTAGCTGCAAAAGCAGCAGCAATTTCTCTCCTCCCCAGTGATACCAGTTTCCATCAGTTATACCCTGTAAGTTTCTAAGAGGTGTTGTGCCTGTTTCAGATGCTGTTGTATATGAAGCTTATATTGTACTAACTCTACCAAATAAAGCCAGCAGTGACAACTCATAGGTTAAGATCTAAAAAAGATAAAATGTGCTGGAAAAGCAGAGAATACTTACAAATATGAAGAAATTGAAGACAAACATCAGATACTTCATGCAGCTCAAACAATCCCCTTCCATGGTTGTACAGGTTGCACAATCCAATCAACCCTGAAAGACACAGACCATCCTTTAGCACTTCCTCCTTTCATCTTTGTAGCCCTCTCTCTCTCTCTCTCTTTTTCTCTTCAAGACCCTGTGGAATTCATTATGCAGAAAGAGTAAATTTCCTCTCTGGATGAGGTAGCATAACAGAGGTTAATCGGTAGTAATGATCACCTCCAATTCCCATTTTGTGCTCTCGCTGGTGCATCAGGATCAGCATGAAAGGTTAATGAGAAACAGCTAAATGACTCACCACCTGGTTTAAAAGGTAAGCACCAAAGATGTATCTTTTTCAATACTCCTTGTCTCTCCTCCCACCTATTTCTAAGCATAATACAAACACACATATATAGTGAAAATTGTTGTTATGTAAAAACCCACAGGTTTACTGCATGCAATATCACTTTTTATGTGATTATAGATTTTTTGACAGTGTGCTGAGAGTCATTATTTTCATCAGGGATGAGAATATTAGCACAAATTTGTTACATCTTTAGTGCTTACAATCACCAAATATGGAAAGCTAGTGTCATATTTCTATATTACAAATAATTGGAGAGGATGGAAGTTAGATAACATACGTTAGGGCTAATGCATATTTCTTCCTTTTACAATGTTATCCCTCTAGGCTGGCAGTTCTCTCAGTGCTACCTCCCTGAGACATCAAACATGAAAATCAAGCTTAGCAGACCAATTACAAAACAATAGCAAGCTAATTTGGCAAATGCAAGTTGAGATAAGCACAGGTTAGAAAAAGGATATACCCTTTTCCTCCTAAAGGTCTACCTACGCTTTCTGAATATCGGGTCAGAGTTTATTTGAGAAAGATCCTAAGAAAATGTACTGAGCATGCAGCTGAGCTACTATTTAAACAAAGGTTTCCATGTTTTAACTTGTGCTTCCTTTTATCCACCACTGATCTACCATACCAGTTAGGGATGTGCGTCTACTTTGGCTACATCTTGAATGATGAAACATTTTCTCAAAAATGCTCAAATTGGCACAACTCAGACATATTTGCAGGGTGGATAAAAGTCAATGATTGTTTTAAACAATCAAATTGATTTAAGTCATGATATTAATAAAACAATCAATTCTTAAAATTTAAATCATCAAAAATTCCAATTTTTAATTTGATGCCTATCAATTGACTTTAAATCAAATCCTTATAAGAAAAGATTTAAATCAAAGCTACTCTGCTTATCTGTATGAGGTCTTAATCGAATTGGAACAGCTAGTTTCAGTTTTGAAGTGATGCAAAAGGGTCAAAAGAACTTGGCACTGATTCAGAGATTCAAACATCTAAAACGAACTGCAAAAAATGTTACCATAGAAGAAAAACACCAACTGCTGTGATCAAGAGGGGAACATGTTGACAACTTCAACATGCAATCACTGGCATCAATTACAATACTTGTGGCAAATGATTGGATGAGGCTACTAAACTTACATAATCAATTGTTTCACAAAACACTTTGTCTGTCCCCCACCACCAGTCCTCATTCATAAGTGGCAGGTGACTTGCTGGCATGTGACAACAATAGCAGTGTTCTTAGTAGTTAGATTGAAAGATCTTTGAGAATATAGTTGTGTTGATTGTAGCCTAAGCTTCATCTGATTCACCTCCATATTTATTTTGTATTATCAATGTGATTCCAGCCCTGAAATTTTGCTTAACCCTTCCTTTGTCTTTCTGATTTGTTTATTTGAATAGTAAAATATGTTTATTTTATCCTATTTACTCTAGACCAGGGGTTTCCAAACTTTTCAGTATGAGGGCCACATTAGATATTTTACACATTTTCCAGGGCCAAAGGAGGGAAGGGGTACCCAAGCAATCCCCCACCCCCACTGTCTTTGCAAGGCCTCCCTCCTCTTCCTGAGATAGAAAAGGGTTGAGATAGAAAGAGGATTGAGGCCTGACAGAAGCAATCCACCACCCCTGCTGTCTTTGCAAAGACAGCGGGGATGGGGGATCATTTGGTCCCCCTTCCCTCCTCTTCCTATGCCTGGGCCAAATAAAAAGGCAAGGGAGGCCTGATGTGGCCCGTGGGCCATAGTCTGGAGACCCCTGCTCTAGACCAACCCTGCCTGGCCTCTTAGTCCTCTTTCCTGTTAGGTGTCTAATTTGATTTTGTCTGTGATTGACTTTAAAAATCACCCCCTCATTCTTTCGTGTGTGTGTGTGCATGTGCATACATGCATATACAAATATAGGTGCATATGCACCATTGTATAGCCATCTGAATTATACCAGGAAGCCTATGTTATTCAGGAAGCACATATATTGTGATTATATTCCATGTTTAATTCACAATGTGATTGTGAATCATAGAAAGAAACACTATTTTTAATTTTTATTGCCTATTTTGTTCATGTTTCGTTGAGCAAAAAACTACATTTATGATCTAATTTATGATCCATTATTTCTTCATTATTTCAACTTAGCATTTTAAGTTTCTATTCAACCATTGTCTTACAATTTCAAACATTACTTTAACTGAATTAATCATGAGGTCTCTCCACTGTAGTAACACAAATACACACAATACCCTGAGAGCCAGAAGGAAGCAGATTCGTTTTTTTCACCTTCAGGCAGTAGTGGGAGTAAGCCTGATCCCATAGTCAAAAGGGCTCTATTTGAGTCTGGAGGGCAAAGGTAGGCAGGAGGTACTACCCTCTCCCAAAAGAGGTAGCCCCTGCACCAGAAGAAGGCAGTCTGGGTCATCACCACCAAAGAAAAGGCACACCTGCGTAGAGGTCGTTTTGCTCTCCACTTCAGAAGAGCAAGGAGCAGGGCTATATTGCCAGGCCATTACACATTAGCAGCTTGCTTATCTATCTGAAGAAGCAGCACCAGTGTTTTTACTCGGTGCAGAAGCAAAGAAGTCCCAGCGAACAGGCTTAGTCTGCACCTAACAGGAGGTTTAGGCAAGCAACGATGGAGGGAAAGGAGTAAGGGAAGTAGAGGGCAAAGAGACAGAAATTTCCAGTGCCAACCCAGATCCCCAAAGGCAGCACTGTATGATGCAGTGGTGCTTGCTGTATTCTTCAGTCCAGCATTTTAATTCTAGTTAAGGGCTATGTTTAGGGTACCTACCATGATGTGCCCAAAAGTGGAAGAAGTGACCATGCCACAACCTAAAAAGATGTTTTGATTGGATGTAGGGAGCTGCCTCCTATTCTGCACAGCCCCATTTGTCTGCATCTGCCAACTGCTGCTGCCTTCCCCAGTGCCCACCAAACATCCATAGTCAAATACCCTTTCAGACACATACACTGTGACTGAACACCATACTTACTCTTTGTTGTACGGCTCAGTGAAGCAGTATGTTGTTTCTGAAATCTGAACAGTAGACTTTTGTCTGCCAGGAAAGATTATGATTTAGCTGCCATAGTCTGCCAAGCACTACTACCTCCCTGTCTGTCTGCCTACTCAGAAATTAGGCTGGGTGGGCACCACACCAAGCGTGGTGGTGAAGGCATGACTGCCCCCGTCGCTGCCACTTTCCTAGAAAGACCTGAGCTAAAATGGGTGTGAGAAATTAATAATGACAGAGTACAAACGAATTAAGATCATCCAGGGCTGCTCCACCATCTGTCACTTTCATCTTCTTCTCAGAGTATCCCAACTTTTCCTGTTCTTCCTGTTTTTGCCAAGGTAGAGCAGTATTCCATTTTGAAGGAAATCAACCCTGAGTGCTCACTGGAAGGACAGATCCTGAAGCTGAGGCTCCAATACTTTGGCCATCTCATGAGAAGAGATGCCTCCCTGGATAAGACCCTGACGTTGGGAAAGTGTGAAGGCAGGAGGAGAAGATGGTTGGACAGTGTCATCGAAACTACCAACATAAATTTGACCCAACTCTTGGAGGCCGTGGAAGACAGGGGGGCCTGGCATGCTCTGGTCCATGGGGTCACGAAGAGTTGGTCGTGACTTAATGACTACACAACAACAGAGCAGTATTGCTCAAATTCAGGCTTCCTCAGTCTACAGAGAAAGATGTGAAGCACAGCAGGTGCTAGGGTGTTTTGAAAAAAGAAGAAGTTGTAGTAGCAGCTGTGGAAAGAAGCAGTGGCTAAGGCCACCTGTTTGCTTTGCCCACTCCAACTGCCATAGTAGAGGGAGGAGATTTAGGCAGCCACCCATCACCCACTAAAAGCTGGTTTTATACAGAACTTCAGGGCTGGTCTGTGAGGGGTTATCCTTGAGTTTCTGAACATGCAGTTTTCCTAAGCACCTTTCCCATAGTTCCTCGGATACAAGAAAGAATCCTCTTCAACACACACTGAAGAAATTGCCTCCTTGTATACAGGAGAATTAAGCCATCATTTTCTGCCATCAGCACTGCCTCTTATTTTAATTCAACATAAGCCAACTTGTCCTGATAAGTCCCATCCTCATCTGGAGTGGGATGGTGGGGGTGAGGGTCGTTCTCTTCAGGGCCCATAAGACCTGGGTAGGGAAGCACTACCTTTTTGTTGCTGTCTCTGTTTCTTCCTGTGATAAGGGGCAGAGAAATGTCTGACTGTTTGTTGGACAGCACATTGCTTCTCATCTCAGGGGATAGGAGAGCTTGGTCTGTCTTCTGTGCGCACTGCCAACTGTGCTACAAATCAAATGCTTTAATCCATCCTCCGGCCACTTCTTTCTTTGTAAAACTAGTTCTTACTTGGTTCAATTCTTTAACGATAAACCTGTGATCTTCCAAGGGGTTTAGGAAGGCATTGTCAACCCTTGGGGGTCAGTGAGAGGACAAGAGCAGCATGGATGAGCAAGATCAATCACTCCACTGAGTGTACATGCTTTTAAGATATATTTTTTTAATAAAAGCAAACTTCAAAGATGTCTATTACATAAACCTTTGAAACTGTCTGAAATTCTATGATGTCTCCAAATTTGATGTATATTAGTGAAAAAATCAAAACAGCTATGTAGCTCTCCATGTCTTCCAATGCAAGTCAGTGGGAGAGCTAACAATGTGGATTTCTGAATCAATCAGGTT